GGCGTGATCTTGGTGAAAGCATAGTGTTTGCCATGGTGTACTCATAGTATGTATTGCTTTCCCTGACAATAATGTCCATCAGGGGTTCATCGAAGAACAACTGAAAGCATTCCAGTTCAGTGGGATTGTTCCCAAGTGTACATGATGGCCGTATTCCACTTTGTCCTCCATCAAAGTCATGGGATTGGGAACAAACTCGTCATCTTGATGCCAATCCCAGATGCGGTCAGCTGGTGCGTTCTGGATATTGTAATGTCGTTGTGGTTGTGCAGGTGTGGTTGTGGTTGTGAGAGTGTGGGGTCGGCCGAAGCAGTTGTAGTTGTGCAGAGTCAGCAGCGCGGGCACTAGCGTGGCCCGCTGCTGGTGTCACATGACTCATGGCACCGTCACTATCACCACCACCGCCTGCTGCCTCACTCACATCATTTATACCCATCGTAACAATATCGTCATCTTCACTATCAGGACGTGGTGTAGGGCCACGGGATGTGCTCCGAGATGTACTCCTTCCTCTTGGAAGAGCATATGGCACACTACCAGACCGCATGCGACGTCGTACATACTGCCGTTTCACTGGGGAATATTCACCCTCACTGTCACAACTAGAAGTGCTTTCAATAACCTTGAAATCACTATCACTATCACTTGCACTGCTCACATCTGAGTCTTGTACACGGGCAAATAGTTTCCTCTTTCGTCCTGGTACAGGTGAATATGAACGAGCCGGCCTAGCACCAGAGGTGGATGGTTGTGGGTCATCTGGATTTTCATCACTAATTATGTTATCCTGGTAATTTTCTCGGTCACAACCCGTTTCAAAACCAGGGAATTCACTTTCACTGACACTATCATCACTGTTTGAGCTATCACTTGGGAACAAAAGACCTCCAATCCGCTGAGGAGTGAGGAACTTCTTACCGCGAGGCATGGTGAAAATGGAACTACCAAGATGGCGTTCCCACAATGCACCGCTGAGTCCCAGATTTTTTTCACAGGGTGCACACCGACCACTGAGACCCATTCTCTCTCGTGTAGGCCTACCACCCTCTCCCGCTCGATTTGAAGCCGCTAGAATTTATGCGTATAGATACGTCAAACACGGTATCTCCCATGACGTACATATACGACCGCGACAGTCAAAGGGTTAATGAAGCTCATGTCCCCATAAAGTCGCTCTGCCACGTCTGTAGATGACCAGGGGCATTGTCTAACACCAGGAGGCACTTAAGTTCTAATTTCTTTTCAGTTAGGTAATCTTTCACATTGGGGGCAAATGCATGGTGTAACCAGTTATAGAAAAAGTCCCTAGTGACCCATGCCTTACTGTTTGCCCTCCACAGCACACACAAATTATCCTTGAGGACATTCTTTTGCCTGAACGCTCTGGGAGTTTCAGAGTGATACACTAATAAAGGCTTAACTTTGCAATCACCACTAGCATTGGCACACATCAACAAAGTAAGCCTGTCTTTCATAGGCTTATGTCCTGGGAGTGCCTTTTCCTCCTGAGTAATGTAGGTCCTGCTTGGCATTTTCTTCCAGAACAGGCCTGTTTCATCACAATTAAACACTTGTTCAGGTTTCAGTCCTTCACTGTCTATGTACTCCTTGAATTCCTGCACATATTTTTCAGCCGCTTTGTGGTCCGAACTGGCAGCCTCACCATGCCTTATCACACTATGGATGCCACTACGCTTCTTAAATCTCTCAAACCAACCTTTGCTGGCCTTAAATTCACTCACATCATCACTAGCTGCAGGCATTTTTTTAATTAAATCCTCATGCAACTTCCTAGCCTTTTCACATATGATCGCTTGAGAGACGCTATCTCCTGCTAGCTGTTTTTCATTTATCCACACCAATAAGAGTCTCTCAACATCTTCCATCACTTGCGATCTTTGTTTCGAAAACACAGTTAAAACCTTTGGCAAGAACAGCTTCCTTGATTGTCTTTCTGGTGCCCACAATAGTAGCGATGGTTGATTGGGGTTTCTTGTACAACTTGACCAGGTCGGCGATACGCACTCCACTTTCATACTTATCAATGATCTCTTTCTTCATTTCTATTGGAATTCTCACCCTTATTGGTGTACGGTTGGCACTAGAAGCTTTCTTGGGGCCCATGGTCACTTATTTTCCAGAAACAGCACCGAAAACACTGTAATAATACGAAATATTCCGATTGTATGCTTGGATGTTACCGCGGAGGCTGGCTGGTAAACAATGGCACGGGCGGCACATGTGAGGCTGGCTGAGGGCGCACATTGGACGCGTCTCGGACGAAAATCGGTGAGCGGGTTTTTAATCGGTATGCGCGGCAAAATTTTTGCGATTAAAGCAAGCGGTATGCGGATTAATCGCTATGTGATGCCATCGTTATGCGGGGGTCCACTGTAATAACATTACACTTACCTTTACTGAAGACTTCTGGGTGGATGGAATATGGGAGGAGGGGATAGGAGGAAGGTGTTCACTATTGTTTGGAGGGAGAATCTCCTTCCATTAGGACTTTAGGTAGCAAGTCCTTATCTGGGGTTACTTCCCTTCTTCTTTTAATGCCACTGGGAACAACTTGAGTCACTGGACCCCTGTCGCACAAAATATCTGTCCAGAGGTCTTTTTCTGGCATTTCTTTAAGATTTTCCTGAAGTGGGACACAACACTGTCATTGTACATGTTGCAGATATGGATTTTTTCAGCTTGGTCAGGGTGATACTTTTCAAGAAAACTTTGCAACTCATTCCACTTGGCATAAATCTCCTTAATATTTGAAGAAGGCACCTCATCTACTCCCTCTTCCTCCTCCTCTGAAGCAAGTTCCTCGGCTATGGTCTGATGCTGTTCCAATCGAAGCTCTTGCAGTTCGTCAGTGGTTAGCTCTTCCCTGTGATCCTCCACCAACTCTTCCACATCCCTGTCACTCACCTCCAACCCCATGGACTTGCCCAATGCCACAACAGGCAGAGGGTCGGCAGGGACAGGGTCTGCCTCAAACCCTTCAAAATCCCTCTGGATCGTGTTCCTCACTTTATTTACCAAAGGGCTTGCACTAGCTTTCCTTGGGTCCATGATGACTTATTTAGCAGTTGCAAGCACAAAAAACAATGGATTATTATGAAATGTATTGTATGAACCCGCAGGGTGATGGTCACGTGTTGGTAAACAATGGCACACTGAGTGTGAATGGTGTGGGAGACTGGCTTGGTGTGCGCGGTGACGGACGGACGGGTACTGGACGGTCGCCAAAACATGAGTCTAATCACGAAACTCGAGGTCAAATTTTGCCAAAAAAACTCGCCGAAGGTTGAATTTCACGAAAGTCGAGGCTGCCGAAACTTGAAGGCCCACTGTAAATGTATAATAATTAGATAATAACAAGGAACTTTCTATTGCCTTTATGAATTCAGAAAAGGGGGATAGTACCTGTTATGTACATCTGCAACATTGCTCCTTCATTACTAATAATCATAATCCAACCTGTAATTCTTAAGGCAATTAAGCTTGATAAAAGTCATATATCACGTACTAATATGATATCCAATTCTCTTGTAGTCACTAACTCCTAATTTTAATTTTACAACCACTTAAGACACTATACATGTATATATAAGCAATCAGTTATTGCCTTATTAATCTTTAGTTTGCCTGAAATGCTCTGCATATTAAGGGGCTTTCTGCATGCACACCTAAATGTCATTCACTTTTGTACATTGTGACAGGCTGAAATAATCTTTAATCAGTAGTAAAAAATTGTATGAGGGGAGAGTATCTCAGTTTAAGGTATACCTGGAGGGTATTCTGAGGGTCAGTGCCCCTGCAGCTCTTTCCATGACCAGACCTCATGGTGGATTATGTCCTGAGCAACCAGGCTGTTACTGTTGGCTGCACACAGATTGACGTATGAACCGCTCTTGCTTCACACACTGAGGGTCCGGGTTCGATTTCCGGCAAGGATAGAAACAGTGGGCATGTTTCCTTACACCTGTTTTACATGTTCATCCATCAGTGAAATGGGTACCTGGGTGTTAGTCGATTGGTGTGGGACAAAACTGACCTAATTTGCCCAAAAATGCTCTGCATAATAAGGGGCTTTCTGTATAGTAGTATGTCACTGATGTCAGCTAGGACTGTATACCTTGTACATGTACTTGTAGAAATAAATATACTATTATATTATAAAGAGGCTGGGCAATGAAGAATGTGGTATAATTTTGAAAGGATGAGGTACAGAGGAAGTGAATGTACATATTTTGATATTTAGGCATGGACTTTTTTGACAGATGAGGTTATAAAAAATGAGGTGAACTATAAAACAGATGAAGAGGAAAAAGGATGGTGGAATGTTGAGGTATCTGTGGAGAGAAAGAAGGATTGAACCAGAGTATGGCAGTACCAACCCTTTTATATGGGTGTTAGGCATAGGTTTCAAACATTGTGGTATGGGGGAGGCTATAGGCAGTGGATATGTCATGTTTGTGTCCCACAGGATGGGTATGGGGTGCATAATAAACATATTAAACTAACTTGTGAGCAAAGTGTGATGTGAATATCCTGCAAAGAATTCAAAGCATAGAAATTAGAGACAGTGTAGCATTATGAAAGTAATATTCAGAGGGGGCAGAACAGAGCTTGAGGTGGTTTGTGCATTTTGAGAGGGTGGAGCAAAATAGGAAGACGAAGGAGGGTGTGAAGGTTGTCAATGGTAGGAACTTGATCATTCAGCAGGCGTAAGTGAGCGTGTCAGATCAGAATGAAAGGAGACAAGTGGTTTTGTGGATTTGATGTCATGCTGGAGTGTGAGTAAGGTAACATTTGTGAAGGGATTCAGAGAAACCAGTTAGCTGGACTTAAGAGTTCTGGAAGTGGAAAGAACAATGTCTAAACTCTGGAAGGGAGGAGATGTTGCATTGGAGCATAATCCGAATTATGTCATCACAGTTTTGGCAGAACAGTAAATGAATGATGGTGAGTGTTGAGGTAAAAAAAAAAATATCAGTTACCCATTAATTCATTGTAGTACAGATCAGTAACCCCAGCAAAGTACTGTGGCAGATGATGCTGGAGGACCAACAGTGTTGTGTTGATTTCTTCAAGAACTCCCACAACTGGGTACCACTCCTCCACGTGCTGCTGAGCCACTCTTAGCGCTGCACCATTGTTTAACTCTCTGCCCAGAATAACAGAGAAATTAATTAAATAAGGTGATATTTTTCCTATGATAAAACTAATGAATATTTATTGTCATTTACTGATTAGAAATGAAATATTCCCCTCAGTAGTCACTGATTATTAACAAGAATTTAATTAATATCTTACTGGAAACAATTTATGTATATCTTGAGTTTACTAGTGTGTATGTACTTGTCTAATTGTGGTTGCAGGAGTTGAATCATAGCTCCTGTCCCTGCTTCTTCACTGGTCACTACTAGGTTCTCAACCTGCTCCATGAGCTTTACCATACCTCATCTTAAAACTATGTATGGATCCTGCCTTCACTACATCACTTTCCAGACTTCCACTTCCTGACAACTCTATGGCTGAAGAAATGCTTTCTAACATCTCTCTGGCTCATCTGAGTCTTCAGCTTCCAATTGCGACCCCTTGTTGCTGTGTCCCATCTCTGGAACATCCTGTCTTCGTCCACCCTGTCAATTCCTCGCAGTATTTTATATGTAATTATCATATCCCCCCATCCCTCCAGTGTTGTCAGGTTGATTTCACTTAACCTTTCTTCGTAGGACATTTCCCTTAGCTCCAGGACCAGTCTTGTTGCAAACCTTGGCACTTTCTCTAATTTCTTGACGTGCTTGACTAAGCGTGGGTTCCAAACTGGTGCTGCATACTCTTAAAATGGGCCTGACGTACACGGTGTACAGAATTTTGAACGATTCTTTACTGAGGTATTGGAACTCTATTTTCAGGTTTGCCAGGTGCCCATGTGCTACAGCAGTTATCTGGTTGATGTGTGCCTCAGGAGATGTGCACTCACCCCAAGATCCCTTTCCTTGAGTAAGGTTTGCAGTCTTTGGCCCCCTAGCCTGTACTCTGGCTGCAGTCTTCTTTGCCCTTCCCCGATCTTCATGACTTTGCATTTGGTGTGGTTAAATTCCAGGAGCCAGCTGATAGACCAGGCTTGCAGCCTCTCCAGGTCCCTTTGTAGTCCTGTATAATTCTCATCCGACTTAATTACCTGGAGAGGGTTTCAGGAGTCAACGCCCCCGCGGCCCTCTCTGTGACCTGGCCTCGTGATGGATCAATGCCTGATTAATCAGGCTGTTACTGTTGGCTGCACGCAACCTGATGTACGAACCACAGCCCGGCTGGTCAGGTACTGACTTTAGGTGCCTGTCCAGCACCTTCTTGAAGACAGCCAGGGGTCTATTGGTAATCCCCCTTATGTATGTTGGGAGGCAGTTGAAGAGTCTAGGGCCCCCTGACACTTGTCTCTTGTTGTGCTAATAGCACCCCTGCTTTTCATTGCGGGGATGCTGCATCGTCTGCCAAGTCTTGTTTTCATAGGGAGTGATTTTTGTGTGCAAGTTTGGTACTAATCCCTCTAGGATTTTCCAAATGTAAATAATCATGTATCTCTCCTGCCTGCACTCTAGGAAGTACAGGTTGAGGAACTTCAAGCATTCTCAGTAATTGAGGTGTTTTATTGCAGTTATGTGTGCCATGAAGATTCTCTGTACATTTTCTAGGTCGGCAATTTCACCTGCCTTGAAAGGTGCTGTTAGTGTGCAGCAATATTTCAGCCTAGATAGAACAAGAGACTTGAAGAGTGTCATCATGGGCCTGGCATCCCTAGTTTTGAAGGTTCTCATTATCTATCCTGTCATTTTTTCTAGCAGATGCAATTGATACAATGTTGTGGTCTTTAAAAGTTAGATCCTCTGACATTATCACTCCCAGGTCGTTTACATTAATTTTTCGCTCTATCATGTGGTTGGAATTTGTTTTATACTTTGATATAGTTTTAATTTAATCACATTTTCCATATCTTAGTTGAAATTTCTCTTCATTGAACTTCATATCATATGCAAACAGGGACACTTCCCAGACTCTCCCTCCCAGCATGTCATTCATATATAACACAAACAGCACTGGTCCTAGGACTGACCACTGTGGAACTCCCATTGTGTGTGTGTGTGTGTGTGTGTGTGTGTACTCGCCTAATTGTGGTTGCAGGGGTCAATACACAGCTCCTGGCCCCACCTCTTCACTGATTGCTACTAGGTCCTCTCTCTGCTTCCAGAGCTTTGTCATACCTCGTCTTAAAGCTATGTATGGTTCCTGCCTCCACTACATCACTTGTTGGGCTATTCCACTTCCTGACAACTCTATGACTGAAGAAATACTTCCTAACATCCCTATGACTCGTCTGAGTCTTCAGCTTCCAATTGTGACCCGTTGTTTCTGTGTCCCCTCTCTGGAACAACTTCTCTCTGTCTACCTTATCTATTCCATGCAGTATTTTGTATGTCGTTATCATGTCTCCCCTGACCCGCCTGTCCTCCAATGTTGTCAGTCCGATTTCCCTCAACCTTTCTTCATAGGACATACCCCTCAGCTCCGGAACTAGCCTTATTGCAAACCTTTGCACTTTCTCTAATTTCTTGACGTGTTTGCCCAGGTGTGGGTTCCAAACTGGAGCTGCATACTCCAGTGTGGGCCTGATGTACACAGTGTACAGTGTCTTGAACGATTCCTTACTAAGGTATCGGAACGCTATTCTCAGGTTTGCCAGGCGCCCGTATACTGCAGCAGTTATCTGGTTGATGTGTGCCTCCGGACATGCTCGGTGTTATGGTCGCCCCAAGATCTTTCGCCTTGAGTGAGGTTTGCAGTCCTTGGCCACCTAGTCTATACTCTGTCTGCATTCTTCTTTGCCCTTCTCCGATCTTCATGACTTTGCACTTGGCAGGGTAAAATTCAAGAAGCCAGTTGCTGGACCACGTGTCCAGTCTGTCCAGGTCTCTTTGAAGACCTGCCTGGTCCTCATCTGATTTAATTCTCCTCATTAACTTCACATCATCTGCAAACAGGGACACCTCTGAGTCTATCCTTTCCATCATGTCATTCACATATACCAGAAATAGCACTGGTTCAAGGACCGACCCCTGTGGGACCCCGCTTGTCACAGGTGCCCGCTGTGATCCCTCATCCCATACCATGACTCATTGTTGCCTCCCTGTCAGGTATTCTCTGATCCATTTCAGTTGCCTTCCTGTTATACGCGCCTGATCCTCTAGTTTCTGCACTAGTCTCTTGTGAGGAACTGTGTCGAAGGCCTTCTTGCAGTCCAAGAAAATGCAATCAACCCACCCCTCTCTCTCGTGTCGCACTTCTGTAACTTTGTCATAGAACTCCAGAAGGTTTGTGACACAGGATTTGCCTTCCGTGAATCTGTGCTGGTTATCGTTTATAATCTTGTTCCGTTCCAGGTGCTCCACCACTCTCCTCCTGATAATCTTCTCCATGACTTTGCATACTCTACAGGTCAGTGACACTGGTGTGTAATTTAGTGCCTCTTTTCTGTCTCCTTTTTTAAAAATGGGAACTACATTTGCGGTCTTCCATACCTCAGGTAGTTGCCCAGTTTCAAGGGATGTGTTGAAGATTGTGGTTAATGGCACACACAGTATAGTATCTGCTCCCTCCCTTAGGACCCATGGGGAGATGTTGTCCGGTCCCATTGCCTTTGATGTATCAAGGCCACTTAGCAGCTTCTTCACCTCCTCAGTTGTGTGCATAACGTCCAGCACCTGTTGGTCTATTCCCTGTTGGTGTTCCCCTCTATCCTGTCTTCCCAGAGTCATTCCTGTCTCCACTGTGAATACTTCCTTAAATTTCCAGTTGAGCTCCTCGCATACCTCATGATCGTTTCTTGCGAGTTCCCCACCTTCTTTCCTCAAGCCTGATCACCTGGTCTTTGACTGTCGCCTTTCTTCTAATGTAGCTAAACAGCAGTTTCGGGTCAGACTTGGCTTTCGATGCTATGTCATTTTTGTACTGTCGCTGGGCCTCCCTCCTTATCTGTGCATATTCGTTTCTGGCTCTTCGACTGATCTTGCTTTCCTGGGTCCTGGTATTGAGGAATACAGAGACAGTGTAATAACCTATGTGACATGTCAAGATATTAATGAAAATAAGATACCAGATATACTAAGCAAATTTCCTAAATTTGTTTGTAACAGATAAGTGAACTGTAGATATGTAGATAAATAAAAACCCATATGTGCACCTGTTAACCCTTTTGGGGCCTAGTTCCTATGCCTTTTGTGTATCCATATGCTCTTGCGCTACCGTCCACAGGATGGATATGGGGTGTACAATAAACTAGTCACTTCGGTGGCAAAATCTAATCTAATCCAAGATGTACTATGGGCAAGTGTCTCAACACCCACTGCACCCTGGTACCTAGCAATACTTACCTGGTAATTAATAGACTATTGTATTTCTGATATGAAAGAGCCAGTGGAAATAAGTCACACCAATTTCCTTTATTATAATGTGTTACAAAAAGGGTGATATCTGTATAGACATCTTCAGAGAATACTAGAAACTCTCCCCCTCTAACATTCAGCCTGTTTCTGTTTTTTTGTAACAAGTAGTCTGTATTCTGGTCCAGTTATCCTTGAAAATTTTGATAAATTTTAATAGTGCTTGAGGAATGCAACTGATTGGATACTAACGAAATAAAAATTGAGAAGTTTATTAACAAATTTGTCTAGGTTGACAAAATCAAAGAAATGAATTTGATATAATTTAGGATATTAGCTCCTTCACGTCTCTTGTAGTAGCGTAGTGCTGAAGGCACTTTTCATTATGACTCAAGTACAGTCTGGTACATTATCATCAGTTATAAAAATACTAGTATATACAATTGTATGTGTGAATGTGTGTGTGTTCAAAGTTGTTTATGTCTCAGTAAGACTAGACTCCTGGAGTTTACCTGGAGACGGTTTCGGGAGTCAACGCCCCCGCGGCCAGGTCTGAGACCAGGCCTCATGGTGCATCAGGGGTCTGATAACCAGGCTGTTACTGCTGGCCGCACGCAAGCTGACGTACGAACCACAGCCCGGTTGGTCAGGTACTTACTTTAGGTGCCTGTCCAGTGCCTTCATGACAGCCAGGGGTCTATTGGTAATTCCCCTTATGTATGCT